AGAGAGATACTGTTTCATTAATAGAGCTGTTACTCCCCCTTCCCCTCCCAGTAACAATTCATTACACTGTGTTTGATAATGAACAAAAGTGATTTTAAATATAAAAGTATGATTTAAGTGTTGCACGTGATGACAAAACACTCCTGCTAAAGCCTAATACTATAAGAGAATTTGTTACAAAGCATGATTTCTCACCCTAGAGAGAGATACTGTTTCATTAATAGAGCTGTTACTCCCCCTTCCCCTCCCAGTAACAATTCATTACACTGTGTTTGATAATGAACAAAAGTGATTTTAAATATAAAAGTATGATTTAAGTGTTGCACGTGATGACAAAACACTCCTGCTAAAGCCTAATACTATAAGAGAATTTGTTACAAAGCATGATTTCTCACCCTAGATCTTATTCCAGGTGAAGCCTTTCAGGCCAGAGCAGATATCTTTCCTGATCTGGGTCCAGTTGGCCTCCTCCTCCTTGTTGGAGTTCTTTGTTTCCAGGTCTCTTCATGAGCAATCATTGTTTATTCCCCATCACTTCAATAGTTCTTTGTTCAATGCTCCCCATTTCCCCCTCCCCTGGAAGAGTGCAAAATTCAAGATGGATTCCAGCACCAGATGGTATTGTCACCTGTCTTTATCGGACCAAGCACAATACAGGCTTACTGGAAAAACAAGAACATTCACAGATCATTGTCTTGGGCACCAGGCTATTAAATAACTTGAGTAGCAATAATGGCTTTAACTAGAAGAACTAGATTAATAAGCAGGTTTACACTTCATATTTCTAACTTCACATTCAAGAAAGATATGTGCACACAAATAGAATATTCAGGGCATTATAGACTCTTCAATAGGTTACTTGCCCTATTTTGCACAAATCATATTCAAGTTATCCATATTAATATTAAAAAACATAATTTGATACAAAGGTGATGCATGGTGTCAATCTGGAAATTTTGCTTCAAAGCCGTAGTCAAAAGGGGGATGTTTTTGTTGTCATGTTCATTTAGATTGCAAAGAAAACATCATCAAGAAACTCATCCAAATTACTTCCAGTATCACCAGTCAACTTCTGCAATGCTTTGTAACAAATTGTGATTGATTATTTTGGGGGCGAGGAGGGAAAGTAAATGTACCATCCTGACAGATTATACATAATCAAAAAGGCAGAAGAAGGAGGCCATCACAGTGCATTACAATGATTATTTTTCATTTTACATGTGATATGGCAAAAACTTTCCATGTTGACTTTGCAAATTTAGAAGCCAGTTGCTTTTTCAGTGATGGTACATTCTACTTGCCTTAGTACTATAATTTTCCCACCCTTAAGACTGCCTTTTGCTGGATTTGTTTTTGGACAATTGTACAAGGGTGTCCTTCTAACCAACCCTGTCTCGGTCCTTTAGTTCGGTGGCGTCGGTTGCACACACCGGTTCACCGTCAGCCTCCCTCTGGTCCCACGAGAGAATGAAAGTCTCAACGAAGGGTTCTCGTTCACCTCTCCGCCAGGCGGTGTGGGGTAGGAGGGCCTGCCCTCTCTCACAGGCCCCAGCCCAGGGCCCTAAGGACAGGCTCTCTCGGCGTCCTGTCTGGCTGGTGGGGGATGATCCCGAAACTCACCAGCCCACCAGCAAGTCCTAGGATGCCCTGCCCTGGGCTGCTTCCTACCCTGCTGGCCCCACTGCTCCTCCACTGCCCCTCGTTATCACTCCTGGGTTCTCCTTTCTCATCCGTGAACCCTCTCTCCTTACCCCCATTGTTCCCTTTTCCGCCTGCCCTGATCCTCCCTCCAACTCTACCTCCATCCCCCCTTGTGCTCCTGGCCCCTCCCTTTGATTTTCCCCCCTTCCATCACTCCCCCACGACATCACCCCTGACTTGGGAGCGGGGCGCCCCGACATCACAGGCATGCCCCGGCGCGGAGCATCATGCCAGTGTCTGGCTCTTGCGCCTGTCAGTTGTGCAGCTGCCGTGGAGCAGCGTGCACAAGGGACCGGCGCCTCCTGGCTCACCCCGAGGAGCGCAAGTGCTACCGCGGGGTCAGTGTGGGGTGGCTCAGTTCTGGTCGCGCCAGGTCCGCTCGCCCCGTCACAACAATCCATTGATTTGTGAGTAGTCTGGGCTTGTTAAAGTTACATTCTATTGCTATTTCTCTGCAAGTATCCAGGTTAAACTGAATGAAAATTAGCTATGCCTTAAACTCAGGTGCGACGACAGAAAGAGAAACCCTCCATTTTTGCGACGGTTGCGGTTTCTGTCATGCATACATGATATTCTGTGCTACTGCTCAGGATTTGCTACCTGGTCCATGGATATCTAATGCTGAGGGATGGGGTTCCGTAGTCCTAAACACTCACACTTTGTTCCCTCCTTGATAATGGACTCAGGGGATGTTGGTGTTTTGCCTTTTATTTTTCATTATACACAAGGACCCAAATACTGAAAACTATTTTTCAAATTTTTAAAAATTTATTATTTCATGGGTATCTAAATCTATTTACTCTTCTTGTCAACTTTCTGAAGAAGAACTGCACTATGAACATTTTTGGCACTTGTATTCTGTCTTATCATTAATGATTTCTTCAGTGGTTCCTTCTGGAATGCACGGCATATGTGCCCACCTCTTGCAGGAATCACACTGGACCTTTGATAAGTGACAGCTGAGAAAAAGAAATCACACAACTTATAATGTAACACATACTTTCCACGCACTCATGCTATTCCTTCCTCATGTAAGCATTTCCTAAGATATTCCTATCACAGGTGTTGTCTGTCCCTCAGGCAAAATTTTTTTACAATGGTCCCCAAACTATATTGAGGGACATGTATGGAAAGCTTTGCCTCCCTAAACAGTCTGTGCCCAGCCCCAATTCTGCCCCCTTCTAAATCACACGCCCTGACTGCCCACCTCAGAACTCTGACCCATCCAACCACCCCCGGTCTGCTGCCTGTCTGTCCAGTGGGACCCCATGCCCCTTGTTCAACACCCTCCCCCGCCCCCCGCTCCCTGCTCTCTGAGCAGCAGGACTGGCAGCAGTGCTTCATGGCTGGAATGAGCCATTACACCGTGCAATGCAGTCCCGCCGCCTAGAACGCTGGTGGCACGATGAGCAGATGCGGCAGAGGAGGGTGGTCAGAGCTGGAGGCTCTTCCATGACCATGATCTCTAGGGCAGGGCAGGATGGTGCCGCATTCCAGATGTGTTCTGCGTACCGCAGTTTGCTCACCTCTGTACTACAGCCATGATGGAAATGTTTACTGTTGTGTAATTTTCAACAAATTCCATAATCTTAAAAAGATTGACATGTTTGATACAATTCTGTAACATCTTTCCATCGTGCATTCCTCACTTTGCTTTTCACAATTGACCCGATTGCAATATATGCAGAAATCTTCTATGCTTTCTGAAAAATAAATACAGCGCAATGAAATGCTGATTCTGTTACGACCAACACTCTAAATGCTAATCCAACGTTATTGGTTACTGTAAAACTGTTAAACTAGTCACTGGTTTGAAGCTACATTTTTTATTTTTGTTGAGTACTATTTTTACAAACTGTAATTTCACTGCATCTGGATATAAAATAAACCAGTTTATTTAACTGATCTAACAATAGTAACGATTCTCCCAATCTAATTTTTTGGGTAGTTACAGATATTGTTCAATAGTCGTCATTACATAACCAAACCTGTGAGAGACCCCACTTTAGGGCTATTAGGGTGACGGTCTGTTACGTCACATATTTCCACTCTTCCGGTTATCTTCATGTGCCTGCTGAGTTTATAGAACATGGGATACAATTGTTACCTGACTCCTTCATTAGAAGAATTGCTATGTGTCTTTTAAACTCAGTATTTGCCTTCTCTGATATGTCTACAGAACTGATGTCTTTCAGCTGCAAATATGTTTCTGCAAACTAACAACGCTTCTGTTTAGAAAACATTTTATAATTACCATAGATGAGAGTGTGCTGTGACAGTACGATGGTAAGAAACAGACACTGGTTCAGTCATGTACATGGCTGACCATACAGTGCTGCTGTAGTAGTGCTTTCTGCTTTCACGTCACTGCCCCCTTTACATCTCCCATCATCTGCGGCCCTGCCATGGGATCCGGCAGGGCCACCAACAGTGGGGGAACAAAAGGCAACCGGCAATTTAAAAGGGCCTGGGGCACCTTGGCACCACAGCATCAGCTGTCAGAAGGGGATTGCTGGTTGAATCTTGCCCTCCAGCACCGCACCTTCCGCCCAAGACAACAGCACTTATGAAGTCCTAGAGCCCAGCCCCCACACCTTGGCAAGGATGCTGTTGCAGTGCAACCAGTATTCTTTTGCATTTACTAGCACCTCTGCTAATGACACACAAATAACAAATAATACAGACAATTTTTTCTTACTAACCTTAAAGATGAGTAGTCCACAGTTGTGGCCATCAATTTGTCTATTATGCCTAACAATTTGACTCTTCCAATTTGATGTTGAGTTGCCCTTTACTCCTTTGATGAAGTTTCTGAAATATTAATGGAAGCCATTAGTGGACTGTACAGAACAGCTTTTTTTTTTTCAGTTTCTGTTCATAGATAAAAATATTTGTTAGCTCTCTGTAGTTATTGATAGTCATGACTTATTGCTCATTTACTACATATATACATACATATATACACACACACACGAACACAATTGCTTTCAGATTTCTCTGTCACTATTACAGACTATATCATCTGCTGTGCTGTGCCCCATGTGGATAACACCTTCGCAATCATGCAACATGCAACTGTCTTGTGTCCAAATGCTATGAAGTAGTAAGCCATAGTCAAATCCCAGAAGTTCACTCCTAGTCCATCAGTAAGCACATTCAGTACAAGCATATGCTCTTTCAGTTTTTATTTGCAGCTAACAGGAAGATATTACTCTCACTATTGTTACATTCCTGTAAAATATTTACACAGTAACAGTGTAGGATCACTGTAAACACAAGTATCTTAAAATTTACCTCCAGTTCCTAAGAAATTTTCTTTCATAGCTCATCTCTTCACACAATGGATCAATTATTAACAGTTCTTGTGTCTCCATCAATGCTATCTGTAAGTTTAATTACATGTACAAGTTAGGTTGATAATGTGAGAATTTAAGCTATTTCATACTGACTTAGCCAAAAAAACCCAAACATTCATATATTATTGTTTGTAATCACTAACACAAAGTAGAAAAGCATATTGTGAATTCAATGATTAAACAGTTACTAACTGCACTTGTTCATGTAAGGTTTGCTACAATTTCACATTAACTTGTGGTGTTTAAGAAACACAGCTCTCGGAATAGCGACACTCACATTCCACTTTCATTAGCATGCACTGAACTTACCGAAAATACACAGCAGAGGCCATTATACCACTGCCACCCAGCTGCGTTACCAACCTCTTACATAATACCACTTTCATTCACCATAGTCCAGAAGTAAAATAGAAAGCATCTTACCGCAAGAACCCAATGATTTGTTGCGTTGTAAAGAAGTAATATTATATCATGTTGAAGAAATCTGCTCTGTAATTATTTTTAAAAAATTAGGACCAAAATTAAAGTTGGCAGATAAGCAAACTATGACAAGTAGATTACACGGTCTTTCTGAATTTCTTTACATGGATTACTATTACTGTAGGCATTCCACATGAAACCTAGCATTGTCTTTTAAAATTCATAGTTATTTGGACTGTCTGACTTAAGAAGGTGCTCTGCTCATGCTATGTATGAAATCTTGTTAAAATTTACTTTCGATTTCAGTTCTCTTTGTCTGCCTAACAATCTCCGTGGCAACTACTGCTGAGATGGCTTCTACCTGTTGACAGACAACCAAGTTATTACAGCAGTAATCATTCAGTATTGCACATAAATAACATAATAGGTTTCAGAGTGGTAGCTGTGTTACTTTGTGTTAGCAAAAATGAGGAATGCTTAGGGTCTCTTAGACACCAAGTCATTGTGGTGTGTAGGTTCTGGTGGGTGGCAATTGAGTACGATCACCCCCTCCCAGGAGGGGGGGGGGGGTTAGCAAACCCTGCAGTTGTCACCTGTTCCTGCGGGGTGGGGCCTGAGCCCACAGTCCAGTCTCCTTTTGTTTGATTGTCACCTGGTTCTAATGCACGCCTAAGCTGGCGCTGCCCAGGATTGAATGCTCCTCGGGGGTGAGGGTGGGGGACCCGGGGCCCTAAGCGTTGGGGTTTGCTCGCGCCCCGACGCGGTAGACGGGGGGTCACTCCCTCCGTAACCCGTCTACCCACAGATTTCCTCCCTTCCCCTGTACCTTCATTCTGCCACCCCAGTTCTCAAAGCCTGCCTCGGTTCTGGAGTCCGGGTCCAGTGTCGCTCTGATGAGGCCCTGGGAGTCTGTTCTCTCCGCCGAGTCCAGTCTCTGCCGGGCCGCTCCTTCCAGGGCCGGCGGGGCGGGGGCCAGTCACCATCTGAGCCGGGACTCACCGGCAGTGGTGCCCGTCCTGAGAACCCGTAGATTGAGGCCGGGCCGTCTGCCGGCCTCGGTGCTGCTCGGGGTCCGTCCTGCGCTCGGGGGGTCTCCTCCCTCTCTGCGAGGAGGCTGCCCCCTCCCTCACTTCCCCTGTACCTTCATTCTGCCACCCCAGTTCTCAAAGCCTGCCTCGGTTCTGGAGTCCGGGTCCAGTGTCGCTCTGATGAGGCCCTGGGAGTCTGTTCTCTCCGCCGAGTCCAGTCTCTGCCGGGCCGCTCCTTCCAGGGCCGGCGGGGCGGGGTCCAGTCACCATCTGAGCCGGGACTCACCGGCAGTGGTGCCCGTCCTGAGAACCCGTAGATTGAGGCCGGGCCGTCTGCCGGCCTCGGTGCTGCTCGGGGTCCGTCCTGCGCTCGGGGGGTCTCCTCCCTCTCTGCGAGGAGGCTGCCCCCTCCCTCAC